AGGTTTTTTATACAAAGGAGAATAACTCCAGAATGGAAGGTTGCTGAACACCAAATATCAATTTCAATGCTTCACACTAAATTTCATAGAAAAAAATCATTTCAATTGTGTTCACAAGGTATTCTAAATGAATACTCCAAAAAGTAAGGTCATACTGAATGTGGATATGGTTCTTCCTCTCATGACCCCACTGCTTCACACCAAATTTAAAAATTGCGATTTTTTGGCAGAAAAATTTGAAAGCCAAATGTGAGCCCTGTCTCTGTACATGACTTGCATTTTTTTGAAAATATCAAATTTTTCGGTGCTTAATCCATGGTCAAATGTAATCAAAATAATTATTTAACAAAATATATATAAACAGCAAATAATCTCCAAGCTTAGATACAACTGCATTTAAAAAAAAAAACAATTTTAGCATAGATTACAGGTAGCCTACTAATAATTAAAGGATTCTTATATAAAGCGCTAGACTCCACACAGAATTTTGTATGCTCAAACTGCTGACAAAAGTTTCAGGAAACAGTTTATAAATTTGCACATTGAAAAAGGTAGGTTTTGAGTTCTTGTTTAAAGTAGCTGCGAGATGGGCCTGTGCGTAGATGTACATTGTAGTGGTAGAGAGTTCCAGTTATTTCGGGACGAACATACATGTATGGTCCTATTTTATTTCAATAATTTGATTGTGCGCAGGAGTCTTTAGCAGTGGGAGGAAACCGAGGGGTCCTGGGAAAACCCAGGTTGGACAGGTGAACCTACTTCTTGTCACGTACGAACGGGGAATGAAACCATGCCACTTGACTCAATGACAGACCTTATGATCTAACGTGCATGCAATAAACCAAGAGGTCAGAAATGACCCATACTAGATATTTCAAAAAAATCTTCGCCTCATGATTAAATCAAGATTGTAAATTTTACTGAGCAATCATAAGAATTCCTAACAACATGCTAATCCTAATTCCTTGAAAATGCCAGACAACAAGAAATTAAAACTATTAGCAGTTTTAAGAAGAGGGGCCAGAACTATTTTAAACATTCATAGAAAGTTAAAAAAAAACCACAAACCAAAAAAACTTGTGGTCTGGCAAGTAACTGTGACCCTAATGCAAAACTAAAATTTGTTAAGGATACAGTTGATTGAGATCTAAAATCCTAGTAAAAGTTTTAGCCCAAGGCCAATGAAAGAGTTGAATTCCGAAAATATTTTAGTTTTTGTGACTAAAGGCCCAGGGCAATACATAGTAGGCCTACACCACATTAGTATAAATTGGGGATTGTCACAACATTTTACATGTGCACCAGCAGCAAGGAGGATGCCTATTCAATCCTACTGTAGAAGTTCAACTTTAACTACAATTTTTAAAAATTCCATTATGAATATGTCCTGTATCATGTCAAGAAGTAATTCACAGAGAGACAACTCCATCTGGATTTAAACCCAAAATATTATATTGAATGACACTTTATCTTTATAAAATCAAATGAAATAATGGGGTTTAACATTTTTTTTCTGCACCAAATGGCCTAATGAAGATAGGTATGCCATGCAGTGGGAGAGAAATTTTGCTTTGGCAGCAGTGTTTACAACAAGGGTTGCATTTAGGCCTACGTACTATGTACATGTACATGTATGTATAATAATCTTATACATGTAGGTGTAGGCCAATGTGTTCCTTGATTGGAACCTCAGTTTTTTGACACAACTGAACGATTAGACACTGCTCCTTGCCAGGCCCTTCTGTCCTGCACCACAGAGACAAGGGGGAAACACTGCAAGAAAATCCTGAGAAACTTTCTCAACCAATACATGTACAAATAGGTATATGTACTTGGATCAAACATACATGTAGGACAGACTGCTAGTGAGCAAAACTGACATCGAGAATTTATACTACACTGTAAATATAGTTCATAAGCTCTTATTTAAACATGCATGTACATTATGCAAGAGCTAAATCTGCCTATTGCAGGTCATTCTTTAGACATTAATTAACTGATCCAGGCCATAATCAACTGTCGATGGCATCGGATTTCTCCGATATTAAATAGATTAAAACAGTTCAGCCATATTTTGATTTAATTTAAAAATAGAGGAGCGAGACTTAGCTTCGAACAACCAACAGCGTGGTTGAAATTATTACACACGTTTTGTCAAACTTTCAAAGGCTAATAATATCTTCGCTCGCAATAGAGTAATTTGAATGAAATTTTCAAATTATTCATTTTACATGACATTATCTATTTTCAAACTATTATATAGCAAGAATGGCTACCCATTTATCTAAATCTTACATAATGTATCTTTAAAAAAATCAAAACCTCCACAGAGGTAGAGCTGTGAAACGTTTGAAATTTGTAATGCATTACTCTCTTAACTACACATACACAGTTGCACATGTATAGCTTAATAAACAATCCTGCCAAGTATTTAAACGTATCACTAGATATCATTGGAACATAACTTCACGATTTGGTATTTAAATTTGGAATCTTAAACATACATTATGCAAGTGCTAAATCTGCCTAAATTGCAGGTCTTTCTTAAGGCCTGAAACGTTTTCTAAATTATTAATTAGACATTAATTAACTTATCCAGGCCATAATCAACTCTTGATGGCATTGAATTTCTCCGATATTAAATAGATTAGAACAGTTCACCGATATTTTGATTTTTAAAAGCTAAAAATTGAGGAGCAAGAATTAGCTTTGAACAACCAGTACGTTGGTTGAAATTATTGCACATGTCTTGTCAAACCTTCAAAGTCTAATATCTTCGCTCGCAATAGAGTAATTTGAATGAAATTTTCAAATTATTCATTTTACATTATCTATTTTCGAACTATTATAGCAAGAATGGCTAGCTCTTTATCTAAAGCTTACATAATGTATCTTTAAGTACTTCTAGTTCTAGACGAGTTTCTACACTACATGTATGTGTGTCAATCATATGAATAATTTTGTTGAATTTAAAATAACATCTTACAAGAACTGTAGAGAACTCACAAAATCAGTTGGATGGATCAGTGGACCCGGGTGACAGTAATAATGTACACATAAATATAATATGAGTCTAAAACTCAATTTCACCCTACATGTTGTTGCCTTAATTTTATGATTCTAATTCATTAGAAATTTAATACAACCAGAAAGGTAGTAATCATTACATATTTCTTCAAATGTTCCTAATATTAGCTCAGACGAGTTCATTTTTCCCAGCTCCCATGATGAAGTACAAGCTCAAACTTTCAGAATAAAAATACTAAATAGAGTTGTCTCCCTTTAACTGGTTTAAATTTCAACAGACTCAATAAATCACAATCATCAAACACTAAAATCTGATTAAATAAATTCAATTTTCTTCAATGTTTTGTATCTTTCTAAAATGAATCTATGAATATGATAAATTTAGCACTGAGCAATTCCACAGCTTTATCAAGTTTCACAGGAAGACTTGATTAAATTCATCCTGCTTGATACTATTACTAAAACTAAAAGGCTATTAATACATATGTAGGTACTGGATTTCTGAATTCAAATTAGAATAACTTTTGTATGGACTACTTGGACAATATTATACTAAGAACCTATACAATGTGCTTGAATGTACAAACTGTCTTTCATTACTTAATCTTACCTACTGATTAGGTTTACCAAGTACATGTACCTACATTTAGCCTACAATGAATACCTACAATGTAGTACACATGTACATACCACAGTCAGTCATCCACTTTTCCTCATCCCAGCTACATTTAAACTCCTTTCAATTACCCGGTACCGGTACTCAAAAAGTACAATTATTCTTAGCACAAACCCAAATACAAATAAACATGATATTTGTGAAATCAACAGATATGACCAGAACACTTAGCCACAACTTATTTCAAACGATTTTGGAATTATACAACTTTTTGACATTAGTTTAACAGTATCTTGTCAGCTATTTTGTTGTTGACTAATAAGCTCATACATGTTGTTTAAAAAAATCATAAAGAATGACAATTAACAAATCTTTTAGGCTATACTTTTATTCTAATTCTACTTTATAAAATTTATTTAAACTGACTGAAAAGCTCATCTTGTAGTAACTGTACATAAATTTAAACAAATAAAAAAACTTTTCAGTTCATGACATGTCATTTGAGGACACGGTTTAGCCAACCAGGTAATACTAATAGACATTAACTTCAAGGTGAACAAGAGCACTAATCTGCTATCAAATTCTATAAACTGAACATATTTCTAATAGAAATTAACAAATTAAAATGGTTTAATTAAACAAAATTAATCCACTGAAGCACAATAACTTACATGTATATATATATCAAAACCAAACACAATGAATCACTAATAAATTAAATAATGAGAAAAAAAGACACTGATTAACCTCATTGACCTAATTAAATTTGTCTATTCTTAAAACAACTTTTCTAATGACATTGACACCTTAATTATCATTCCAATTAAAACTTTGATCACTACACAATCATGAAACCGTAACCTTAATTAAATTGACTTTATTTTCAAGATGAAAACAAGTTCTCCATGTTCATGAATGATTATACATTTGCATCTATTTTTCAAAAGAACACAAATTAAATTGATCACTGTTAAATAAATTGTTTTAACTAGTCCCTCCATGCTACAGATATGGGGTCTTTAAACTCTGTTAAATCCGTTGGAAATAACATTTAAATCCATTACCAATAGCATTAACCAAATATCATACACACACAAAGTACTGAAGACACCTAACTTCATTTCAAACAGTCACAATGTACATGTAAATAATATTTCAAATTTAATGAACCATGACATTTTAAAACATTAAATCCTCAGTAGAACTTTTGGCATACTCATACATTCACAGACACAATCATATTTCACTCAAAAACGATTCCAATCATAACTGACACTGCCATTCACTGACAGTCAACATTCAGGTCACACAGTACTCCTCACTTTCAATGAATTATAATATTCCATTATTATCTCACCTTCCAGTTGAAAGACCACTTAGATTGAAGGCTAAATTCGTCATAGGAGAATTCACTGTACATGTTGCTGGACTTTCTCCAAAACTTATGTTATTTGTGATGTTTTTTAAGGCCAAACTTAAGGGTTTGGTGATAGGTGTTCTGTCAGACATCCTGGTAATAAGACCACACCTTCCTGTGGCTTGGCTAACTGGCCTTACAAGTCCAAATGCAACTTCAATTTACGTCTCATCGGATGGTCAAAATGGTTTATAAAACAATCACTCCAAATAATCACTTTTATCCCAAAGTATTACAAAATAAAGAATCGTTTATTTCCGTATAATAAGACCAATATCCGACGGCCTGTGCAAGTTATGAAGATTGTTGGTTGTAAAAACAAAGAGCAGAGAACTCAATGAATCAATTTGGTAGCGTCAGGTTATGAACACATGCAATGTCACATCCAATATACTTGGTTTCATACAAACAAATTTTATCACAGAGCTTCGAAGCTACAGAGAATATAGTCCTAGACATCCATGTTGACTTGAAGATACTTAGAGCATCAGTGGATGTTGCTCCACTAAATAAATGAAATAATGTTAATTGACGATATGCCCAGACCAGCTCACCGCCACCACGTTTGAAAGACAACACACTTTCAGCCAATCAGCGTCCAGCTAACAAAGCGTCTGCAAGCGATATTCACTTCTTTTTTGTTTTAGGACTATTTTTACATAACAATAGAATTTTTAACACCCTAATTACGATTAAGAAGTGTTAGAATAAGGTTCAATGAAAATAAATTTTTTATACAAATTCATTTCCCGAAATAAATATTTACTGCGCGTGCGCATGGACATGGCGCGAAATTAAGACAGGAACTTTAGTGAACAAATTTGCAGGTCATATAGAAAGTAGTGGTTATTTTATTCAATTTTATGTACTAAAAACACAGAATTATTCAAACAATGAGTCAACGGAGGAACAATAGAAGTCACTATTCTCACGGAGATCGGTATTTCCCCACTGGAAGGTATATTTCTTATATTTTCGGATATTTTTTTGCTTTGTCGTAACCACTGATTCTGAACTGGGAGAAAAGGTCCAAGCATCTCAGTCACACTGCAAGATGAATTTTGTTTTTATTATTATTATTTGACAGCCAGGTTGACGGACACTAGATGTTTGTCAAGCTTTTTTGTTTGAAAGTTTTGTTTAACCGAAGGGTTGGTTATTCAGATCGGTGTTGGGATTCTTACAAAAGCCCTTGCAAAAAAGTTACATCAACCTAAAAAAATGGGCTGTAGTTGTAGTGGACGGAACAGAATTGACATTATTTGTTATGAGAATATAATTGAATATGATGTAGTAATCTAGGAACATTGGCTTGCTTCTTTATGAAGCAGTAGTAAGTTTGACTTTTGACAAGAAAATGTATCTTATTTAATGTAGGCCTAGATCTAATAAATTTAATTTTACATACCGGTATAATACTAATAGTTGTAGATATGTAGAATTTTTAAGATAACTCTGTTCATGATCATCATGATGAAGACTGAAAGCCCAAGTGCACTCTTTGAACCCCCCTGGTGGCTGTTGGGTAATACATGTGTAACTTGTAGTAAATTTATATGACATATATTAACTATTTATTGGAAGATCTGCATACAACCTGATTTAAAATTGCCATGCATGGTTCGGATAGATCAGGTTCATCATGGCAAAGGTTTTCAATTATAAACTAGTCTGAAAAATGAATCTGGCTCAATCTAACAGGCTGTGTGTGAGTTAATTTAGAGCATGTGAAAGTGCTACATGTATGTTATCCTTTTTTTTTTTAAAAAAAAACCCCAAAAAACAACATTCTCTTTATTTCAGGGACAGTACAACACGTGAACGATATGCAAGAAACGGTCCCTTAAGTCCCCTTAGAAGTCCAATAAATAAAGATAAACAAGTTTCTAATAGGAATAACAGAACAGATAATAACAGGTACTGTATAAATGGATTGGCGTCTAATAGTTCAGGATTAAAAGTAAAGTCTGTTAGATATTGTAAGCTTATGGTTTGTACATGTATATGTAGAACCCTTCATTCAATATTAACCAACTATAACAATGGTAAATTATTTTTTTAGGAGTTCAAAGAGTCAGTTAGATTTCTGTATCAAGACTAGTGACTTTCCTCCATTAGAACAGATTCAGTAAGTATCCATTTACAAACTGCTATATTGTTGATCGAAAAATGTGTTAATCCTGTTCAGTACAAAAGTATGATGAAGTGAACATTTGTCAATCTTCAAAATCCACTGCAGAAGATATATATTAGGATGTCAAACCCAACCAGTAATGTCTGTTAGTTTAGCTAAAATCTTTTTTGGGGGGGCAGGGGGCTTCTTTTTTATCCGATTGAATGTTAGATGATGAATTTGAATTCATTTTACATTAGATTAAGCTGTGAAAGAGTAGATATTGTTCCGAAATCCAAATAATTATTTAATCTTCTGATTGTAGAATGACTCCAGAAATTGGTCCTATCAAGCATAACAGCACGAATTTGGATTGGGCTGCGCAAGTTGATACATTTGAGCAATTGGCTGCCGAGGAAAATGATAATCTGAAAACGTGAGTTTGTCTTTTAGTTTTGGATCATGATTGTCATTTATTTAATATTAAAATCTACCCCCCCCCCCCCCCCCCCCAAACAAAAAAACTAGCAGTCTGGTTAAAATATTTTTTTTATTACTTCTTTAATGTTTTAGATATCGTCGTAAATTGGAAATGGGTACTGCAAGAAAACCTAAATTAGTTATGGACATGGAGGAAGACTCTGCTACTCTTATGAGGAGACAAAAATCTATTGATTATGGTAAAAATACTCCAGGTTATGCATCCTATCTCAGACAAGTGAAAAGGTGAGTAAAGTTGGAATGTGTAAAATAGAAGAAATATAGTTTTATAATGGCATTAAGTCTATGCAAACCAGAATAATTTGTCAATAATCAGCCTTTTTATCATAATAAATAAATATCAATATCGTGATTTAAATCTCTCAGGATTGGAAGCAAAGATGGTGCGAGACCGGTGTCATAGTTGCTGTATCCTTGCTACTTAGTATACTGTTTTCCTTATAAGTAGTCCTTTTATTTTGTAGATATCAAAGAAGGAAAGGCCACCCTTGTACACCTAATAAATATGTGAAAACTAGTAGACGGTCATGGGACATGCAAGTGAAACTATGGAGACGTTCTCTTCATCAGTTTGATGCACCTACTAGCACAAATAAAAGGTAAAAGTTATACTGAGTTAATGTTATTTTAATACTTGAATAGTGCACATGTTTACTGATATGTGTTTTTGTGATTAACTGTTGGATGCTGAATTATTATGTCGGCAGTAATGTTTATCTGTATCTGCCTGTCTTTAATAGCTACACAAACATCCAGTCATCAACAACTGTTTCATCTCCTATTTTCTACGTGATTCACTCTCCAGGATTTGAGTGATTTTGTTTTCTTAATTGAATTATATATTATCTGTAAAATAAATATTCAGTTTTGACTAATTCAAATTCGTCATTTATAGATTATTCATTTATAATTATATTTCTTTTCCTGATTTTTGGTAAATCAGCATATTGACAATGTGTTGAAATCATGTCTGTATCAGCGAATATTTTGTTGAAAAATAACCTTTTTGAATTTTTTTCCTTGCCTTAGCAGTGCAGATGTCTCCATGACAGACAGTTCATCAGAATATTTCAGTGCCTTAGAGAAGACTTTTGATTCAGATATTTCAGACAATGGCAGTGAACTGTTGGATTACAGAAATAGTCAAAACAATGAGAATTTTTCTCACCACTTTCCTGAACCAGAAGTCCGTCAGCCCAATCACAGCTCTCCTAAGAATTCTTTGAGTTTGATTGATGATAATGAAATTGATTCATTGATATTATAGTTTCCCTGATCAGTGCTTTTATCATCTACTTAAAAAGCCAACATTTTTGTGTTTATACATGTATTAGTGACAGTCAATTGTGAGAGAAATGAGGTCAAGTTTTATGTCGTAAAAACTCATCACAAGGTACACAATTTCAAAAGGGAGGGGGGAAATGGGGTGGGGGGATGTTGGTAAAGAGTGCTAATTACTTCAGATCATATTTGCATTGGTTTAATTTGTACCCATAACCCTTTATCACCTGAAACTAGTGAAACCACCCCCAAACATCCAGAAACTACTGCTCCCTTAAGCATTTCAAATCATCCAAATATGGCTGAACTATCGATGACCATCTATACAAGACAGTCTTGGTTGAAGAAGTATCAAAAATGAGCTACATTGCTTTCCTCAGTTTCTTTTCTTTGCAAACTGTGGTAGTCAATATGTATCAGGTGATAAAGGGTTTATGTCCATATTTTTTTCATTATTTTTTTGCTTGTATTGAAACAATTTCATAAAATTTATCATCAAAAATCAACTGTTAGAATAAATCATCTGGCAGTTTAATATGTAATTTAATAAATAATTATAATAATATATTCATGTATAACAAAAGTATTATTTTGTATAAGGTTAAAATTTTACCTCTTTATGTCATGTGTATTGTTATTGTTTTCTTTGGTCATTAATACCTGCGCTCACAAAAGTATTCAGATATTTGCATTCAAATTGTTTTTCATGGCTATGTCGAAAGTTATCTTTATGTCATTGTAACAATAAAACGACGTTATTTTGGTAATCAACTACATGTATTTTAAGAATTAGTTTTACGAATGTTGTATTTAAAAAAAATGTAGAGGTTTGTAAGTATGGTTTAATGGTCGTGAGCGAGACATTAAGCAATATATTGATACTGCACGAGATGCAAGCCGAGTGTTGTTTCAATATATTACGCAATGACTTTAGCTTGAGACCATTAAACAACTTAAAATACAGACACTATCCTGCACTTGCTTTTCAATAAAATACGTCACGCAAGTCCAATATTTCATCTAGTATAGATAATGTACGATTGGCAAGTTGCTCGTACATTATTTGAAATAATGGTATGCCAACATCATCCGTACATTATTTGAAATAATGGTATGCCAACATCAAAGGATGACGTCACATCTGTATTTTAAGATTAAATAAGCCTCTAGATTGCCAGAATATATTGTTTTACTCCATGCAATTTAATAACAATATTGCCACTAGAAAGTATTTGAATCAGAAAATTGCAAGTGGAGATTTGGAACCTAGTTATGCATATTTTGTGTGACAATCGAAAAATGTAACAAATCTAAGGTTCTACATCGTTGTTTGGCCAGAAGCCTTTAATTGAATATTTGCATATAAAGTTGTGTATACTTGATAAATTGTAAAATAATAACAAGTATTTGTACATGTATTTTATTCATTCTGTAAATAAACCATTCATTCTACAAATATTGTTGTAATCATCAGACCTTTTTATACCTGCAAATGTATTAAAAGTTGCAATTCAAAGCTACCCATTGTCATTTTGCATTTATGTCTGATATTCCTTTGAAGTGAGATGCAGTGTGTAGCTTATAACCTATTCCAAATCCCTCAGTGTCTTTAAAATATAGCAGCCAAATCGTTTTGGGGTTGAATATTGAAAATATTAACTGTTTATGTGTCAGATACTGATGAAGCCAATATACATGTGCAATCCAGGCCGGATGGGAAATGTAGATCCCATTTCAAAATTCTATTTCCGAATTTTTGTAATGGGCGCTGAATACAAACGATTTATGTATGGGTATGTACATGGTACATATTAGCATGGAATATGTTAAAGAACCCCACTTGACTCTTTGTATAATATCCACATTATTTTAACCAAAGGGTTCCCTTTTAGCCCCAACCAGTCGGGGAAGTTCCCCTCAAAATTCTAGGCTTCCATACAGCTCTTATCTCTGCCGCAGAAAGGAGTGGGGAATAACTATCGTATTACTTGATGTAATTAAGGCCAACCAGGACAGTTGTTGGGGTATATCAAGTTATCTGTAGATTGATACCGACCCAGATTAAAGTAGAGAGTGTTGACACATGTATCAACTAATTAGCAGTTAAATACAGTCTACAACCATAGACGTAGGATGATAAGCCATGTTCAATCGTATCTACTCGTGACTGGAAAACATCAAATTGTAATTTGATAACTGCATTCCGTCGGGTCCCTGGTCTATGTGCGGAAGATCCAAGATAAAATGATTTGTTCGGAAAAATGATACTTGTAGGATATGAAAAGGGATAATGAAGACCGGCACACGCAATGTTTGGGCTAAGAAGGAAATTTTGCCCGGACAGCGGCGTTTCCGACTGCTCTTCGTCGAATTCCAGCGTAAATTGTCCTTCCACTGCAGTCGCAGAAAAGTAGGACTTAAACCCCATTTCATTTCATTCCTTCTGCAGACGATGTAAAACAAATATGCGCCATCTTGAAGTGCAGGCTAAAATCTTTTGATGGGCCTGTTTTCGAAATTGTATTATGAATACAGTTTTCAAAGTTTAAAGTAATTGTAAAAGCATGAAAAAATAACTGGGTCTATAAGTCTAACGTATAAGCAGCTTGGGGAGTTCGGGTTGGCCTCGACAGACGAGGTTGAGGTAGGACAAAGGGCAGCTGGACGCCGTCTCGATCAAACTAAATGAAGACAGAATCAACATCTGTTGCTCATTCATTAAACCGATAAGAAACGACCCCAAATGGCGGTGAATATTAAATGCACGCGAACCCTTTTCTTTCTTACAACAAATTATTAATACCTTACAAAGCCCTGGACTATTGCCATCAATAACTTTACACAAGTATAAAATGCTCTATGTAAAAACACTGAGCCTCCATTATCATTCTTTTCTATTGTTGTGTTTGTCCCTTAAATACCAACGAATCAATAATAAAAGATTTTTTTCGGGGATGAGGTGGGAGTAATAGAATTTTTATTGATTTAACGTCAATTTTCCATAAAGTTGGATGCTACATGTGTATTACATATATCAACTTAAAAGAAATAAGTGCTAAATAATGAAAAAGAGAATCAATATCTTCTATATCAAATTATAATGTTGCATATATTTTCTATGGCAAATGTCGACTATAATCCATATTTCTTAGTTTACTGACCCCAGTATCTGATACATATATTATGCAGATGACCTGCAAGATATACCATCGACGGCTTGTCCCGGTCTCTAATCCACCCCAATGGCTATTTACATTCACAGAACATATTGTTGCTCTGTCTTATTATCAGTATTTTCTTTTGTATTACTTTATTTTCTTAACCCAACAGAAGCACAATATAGAAAAGGAAAGGAAGTGAAACGGGGTTTAACATCCTACATTTCTGCACCGTTCTACACCAGTGACAAAGAGAAAGCAGGTTAGAAAACCCAGATTAACTTTCTCGGCAAACATCGGGATTTCCTAAAAAGTGAGCCAGACATCACCGACCCAACTCACCGAGCCATGAAGTTAACAAAAAAGTTAAATATAGAAAAGTAATAGTGCATTTTAGCCATCGACGATATTGATAAATTCAAGTTCTATAGTTTATTGTCCTTTTAAATTTCCCTGCATTCGGTGTTTTGTCAATGGATAATATATGAATGTTTTCACAGAACTATAGATATGTTTAAATGAATATTCACAATGACAACCCACAGAATCGCTCCATTTGTAATTATTTCTGTTGTGTTCCTTTCCAGACGGTGTATTTCGCAGGGAATATTGCTGGCGCTGCCATTACAGTATTATACTATCTGAAACGTATGAAATAGGCGTGATCAACCAAGTACGGGTTCTATCACAAGTGTAAGAATTTAAAACCGACAAAGCGATACACCCCTGGTCAAAGCCCAAAGGGTTTGGAATGGCCCCAGACTGATTGGGAGTTTTCATTTTACGTTTATTTTGACTGTTTGACTGTTACATGTTGCTGTGATAAACGTGTCTACCTAACAATTACTGCGAAAGTTGTTTTTTATGGGCCAGGGTCATAAATGACCGATGGGTGCTGGGGTTGGATTTGGGACGTCGACCAGGCGTTAAATTCTATCAAATGTCTATAATACACCCATTTACCACATTATACTTGATTGTCAGTTTTATTAAAAGTCTGGCAGATCATTGCATATATTGTAAAGATCAGGACAGTGTGTTAGATTAATTCATTAACTAAATTTATTGCGTATAATTATACCAAAGACTAACGATCGTGTTATTATTAATATCCAACGTCAATAAATTAACACGATAGAGCTAAGGCGCCAAGGGTTAACACTTTAAAGCTATACAAATCCAAACATGAAACACTTCATTCCTTTATTTTAGCTTTAATCCCGTCGTGGGAAGATGGCGTGGGTATATTTGCCTTTGTCATAAAACAAAGATTTACTGAATAACAGAACGTGGGAATGTAATAAAAGATTGATAAAGTAAAAAGAATTTGTTTTGTGGTATAATAAAGTTATTGAATTATATAATATACATAATAGAGAGCTCTGGGAACGTAGAAATATATTAACGCATTGTATATGTATTAATTGAAAAACAGAAGATGGAATGGGGTTTAACTTCCTACTTTTCTATACCAAAAGGACTAATAAAATTGGAGCTACATTTACTTCATCGAATTATAATAGTTATGGGTTCTTTTAAGTGCACACTAACGTGTACAAAGGATATCGATTTTTCGTCCAGTCCGAACGACTAGACGCTATTCGTTGTAACGTGTACAAGTGATCTCGGTTTTCCGTCCAATCCGAAAGACTAGACGCTATTCGTTGCCACCGTGTACACGGGACCTCGGTTTTCCGTCCAATTCGAACGACTAGACATTATTCATTACCAGGTCATCCTGGATTTACTACTTCTTCGTTCATGTCACGCAATATTTCAATATTCTTACAGGTATCTTTATCAAGCACTGTGTGCAATAACTAAGTAGTAAATCCATAACGTTGTAATTTTTTTTTTAATTTATCTATTCCCAAATGTCATTTAATTAAGGGCATTTAATATGTATACTAATATTTATATGTTAATTTCTCGTATTGTGTACCTTGTTTGGCGCAATATATCCCGGTTGGTGCTGACGTCCCATCAAACAACATCTCATATATTGTTTCCCCGAGACAGCTACAATATTGTTTAGAAAGATCCCTTCTCTGTCATTATTCCACGATACGATATTTTAACACGTCGACAACGTACACGATCTTTTCAAATTAAACAAATTGAAACAAGTGTGTTAATGTTTTCAAACAGAATGACCAACAAAAACATTGACCCCATCACTGCAAACTAACACAGCATTCCATCCATTCATGCTTCAATTCTTGTGTCAACTTAACACGGTCACAAGATCTTGAAATATTTCTGTTTCAATTTGTCTGAATGCAAAATATCTCACGGTTATAGTCAGGGGCTGACTTGAGTGTTTAGGTCGATTGAAACATGACACAAATTATGTGGAATACAAGTTATTCTGAGGACGTTTCCAGAAAAGTTTCTCTCGTCTCTCACAAACATCCAAGTAACTTGTATTCCATATAATTGGGGCATGTTTTATTTTGATTCGGTTACTAAATGACAAGTTAACAATTTTTTTTTAGATCGCCTGTCAATGTTGATATTTTATGTGGATTTTTGTTTTGTTTCAACATTATCGTTACTGAATAGGTTTAATAGACATCCGTATAATATTGAACCCTGAAGAATACCGATAACAAAACTTTGGTTATTATGGACTCCTCCTCCTAAAAACGTCCCGCATTTCTGTTACAAACATTCAAAAGGTAATGATTTGTGGCTTAACCCACAAAGCAGATTTTCTCAATATCCTATCGTAATGAATACTAGTATTTAAGACAGGGTTTGACTTAATCCACAGGCAGGAGTTTGGTGATTGTATGTCCCAAAATTCAAAAGTATACGACTTAGTACTGAGAAATTTGAGAAAGCGAGACATTTTGAATGCGTATACCTAGACGAAACAAAACTTTTTATTCGAACTAAATACGGCACCATACACAACGAAGTTAACAGCAATAATTTAAATTTTAATTTCACTTTGAAATGGATGCCCGGAGGTACCCCACCCCGTACGCCACAGTCAATATTTAGACAAGATATTACTTATTGGATTATCTTAAGTACACGATACATTGAAAAATTGCGGATTTTAATGTAACACAAACAAAATATCACATATTATGATTTATTATTAATTTCCTAACCTGTTTAAGACCATGTTGTCTAAACGCCATTTTGTATTGTTGGAAGATAAGGTCGCTGGAATACAATGATGATGTCTGATGATAATATGTTATAAGAGTATTAAATAAATAAAGTGTAATGTAAGGTTATAACATTTTTAATAAACACTGCTGTTGAGAAATATAAACATGACTGGGTT